GAACAAGAAATACCTCCAACTATTAATTGGTCTTCTCCGTTACTGACTTACTGTATCTGCAAATGGTGTTTTTCTTTCAGCTTTATCACGTTCGATCCTTGTCTTGAAAATGGTGTCTTATAAAATTTCTCTACCTAAGAAATTACATGTGGGTATTTGTAGAATTGTGTATCGAACTTATTATAACTTCTCTGATTAGATCTGTCAACAAACCTTTTTTCGGCAAAAATAAAATAAAATTGATTATTAAAAGGATGAGCACAAAGTCCCTAAACTATATGAGTGGTCAACACTGATTCGTATAGGATTAGGACATGTTATCAGAATCCAACTTAGTCTTGATTTTATCTCCAGTATTGATGCAAACGCTGACAATGAAACACAATGCCCTTCATGTCCAGGTGAAGATTGAAATCAGTTCGAGATGACCCAAAAGTTGGAAGCACAAGGGGCCTGCTTAGACTTCGATACGTGGGATGATGGATCCGACTATGATGGTGTATCAAAGATATATCTAGGATGTGGACTTTATACCATACATACTATGTATTTCGACTACGTCAAGAGTGGAAAATCAATAGAAGGGCCATGCCGTGGTCTGCTGGTTAATAATGAAATGGTATGCCTAAAATCATTTTTTAATTCATATGCAAGTCCCTTCATTAGGTATCTATTTGGAGAATGCTGAGTTTCGGTTCTTTGTTTCACCAATTCTTTAACAGGTTGAGATCAACCTTTTCGAAAATGAACATCTTGTATCTGTAAATGGTGCTTATTATAACCGCCAGAAGGACCTTCATTCACTTGTATTCAACAGTAACTTCAGGACTATTGGACCATTTAAGAAGTAAATTTGCTTAGTTGTCATATTCTCCATAAGTTTAGCTAATTTTATTTATTTATTATATTTTTAATATTTAGATATTATATTTTTAATATTTAGATATAATTTATTTATAAATAAAACAAATTTATATGAATATATACTATTTTTAGAAAATAAGATAATTCTTGTGATTTATTTATTATACTATTATTTAAGAAGTAAATTTTCTTAGTTGTCATGTTCTTCATAAGTTTAGGTAATTTTTTTATTTCTTATATTTTTAATATTTATATATAATTTATTTATAAATAAAACGAATTTATATGAATATATCATATTTTTAGAAAATAAGATAATTCTTGTGATTTATGTTGTTATCTTGAAGTATATATTTATATATAAAACTTAAATTTTAAATTAATATATAAAAATTATTATATTTATTATATAACTACAACAAATTTATATTAATAATTTTATATTTTTCTAAAATAACATAATTCTGATGTATTATGTTGTTATGTTAAAAATGTATTTACCTATTATAAAACTCAAAATTAAGATATAAAAATTATATTATTAATAGTTAAATTGAAATCATCAAACAATTATTTGAATTTAATTTTTTTTTTTCAAGTTCTCCATGATCCTAGGTAATTTTTATCATTTATCATATTTTCTATTATTTTTTATTATTGATTATATAATTAAAACTAATTTATACTAATAGTATGATATTTTCTAAAATAAGTCAATTCTTATGTATTATGCTATTATCTTGAAAATCTATTTTTATTATAAAATTTAAAATTAACATGTAAAAAATCTATACTATTATTTATGAAGTGAATTTAATGTTTGATGATTTGTTATATTTTCCACGATTTTAAGTAACTTTGATAATTACCGTAATTTCTATAATTTTATATATAATTTGTTATATATTTTAAAAAAATTATATTAATAACATCAGACTTTTAGAAAATAAGACAGTTCTTATGTATTATGTTGTTGTCTTAAAAATATATTTTTCTATTAGAAATTTAAAATTAAAATTTAAAAAGTTGTAGTTATTCTATAATTAAAATAAATTTACACTAATAATATTATACTTTTATAAAATAAGGTAATTCTTATGTATTATGTTGTCATCTTGAAAATATATTTTTATATTATATAATCTAAAATTAAAATAAAACAATTATCTGATGTTTGAGTTTTGTCATTTATAATTATTTGATGTTTTATTTTTATGTTTTGAAAACATAAGTAATAAATTAATGAAACATCAACTAATAAATATTCATAAGAGAATTATGTCCGCAAGTGCGGGCAAAACACCTAGTTCACTTGTATTCAACAGTAACTTCAGGACTATTGGACCTATACTGTCTAGGGCTCATGTACCGTCGGGATCTAAGGAGTTTACACTAGCAGTCAAAGGGAAGAAGATCATTGGGTTTCACGGATCTGCTGCAAATGCGATTTACTCTCTTGGAGCATATTTCACTTGGATTACTCCAATTAGAGTGGAAACTAAGGGCGGAAAGGGAGGTGAACAGTGGGATGATGGATATGAGCATGAAGATGTATCCATGATTCAAGTACAAGGTGGTTCTGGAGGCATACAGTCCATCCAATTTAACTATGTAAGGTCGAATGAAGAAGTGAAACAAGGGCTACTCCGTGGTGTCTCTAGTGGAGGTAACACAAAAACGGTACGTAATTATGTTTTGGAAATTAAACTGCATGCCTCTATCTGAGTATATTGGTTGTAGTCTTTAGTAGTATAACAACCTTTTTTGCAGTATGAGATTAAGTATCTCCAAGGAGAATATCTAGTATCCGTTGAGGGTTACTATGATGATGGTACAAGCGCCATTCAGGGGCTTCAGTTCAGAACTAACACGCAGACATTTGAAATGATGGGATCTGCCATGGGTAGGAAGTTCACAGTTGCATCCAATGGAAACAAGATAACTGGGTTTCATGGATACGCAGACAATACGGCGCTTATATCTATTGGAGCATATTTCACGACGACTCGTTGTAAATTGGAATGCGTTGGTGGTGATATTAATATTGGAACAAGTTGGGATGATGGTTCTGGTTATGATGGCATAAGAAAGGTGTTCGTTGAAGTAGCACCTTCAGATATTCCGTGTATCAGGTTCGAGTATGAAAACAGAGGCAAATTCATTAAGAGTCATCACCGGGGACGCGCTGAAAATGAACAAGAGGTCATATAATTCATATATATATATATATATATATATATATATATATAAATAATGATGTGTTCTTGAGTAGCTCATATATATATATGTGAAATTGTTTTTAATGTTGCAGTTTGTAATCGATTACCCAAATGAATTTATCACGTCTGTGGAGGGGTCAGTAGAGAACGGCTTGTTTAGGTCGTTGACAATAAAAACATCAAAAGGGAGAAGATCTCCAACGTATGGAGAGTTTAAGGGATCTAAATTTGTGCTGGAGAAACCAGGTAATATCCTTGTTGGGTTCTATGGAACGAGATGTGATGATTCGATTACTTCTCTTGGAGCATATTACCGACCATTGCCTCCTCCTCCTGTTGAGGAGAAACTGGAAGAACAAGGTGGCAATGGAGGCGATAATTGGGACGATGGTGGTACTTTCCACCGTATCAAAAGGATATACATTGGACTAACCGAAAACAAAGCTATAGGATTTGTCAAGTTTATGTATGTGCAAAACGATGATCGTATAGTCTTCGGTGATGATCATGGGAGCAAAACCCTATCTGATATCCAAGAGGTCACTGATTCAATTCATGTACTTTTACAGATATATAGATGGTAACATGGTCAACTAATAATTATCCTTCACTTTTTTCTTTTCTTGTTTTCAGTTCACAATAGGTGATCCTGCGGAATATCTCACATCAGTGGAGGGTGACTATGATGATGAATCTGGAGTTATAACCATGCTTAGGTTCATTACCAACAAAACAAACTCACGAGTTTTTGGAGTCGGTACAACATCAAGGTTCGTACTCCACAAGAGTGGATACCAGATCGTTGGGTTCCATGGAAAATCCAGTGACATGCTTCATCAAATCGGGGTCCATGTTCTTCCCATCAGCGTTTAATTGAGTTCTTTAATGATCTTTTCTGTGTTGCATTTTTCTTTTTTTTGGTCAGACCTCATTTTTCTGTGTTGCACTATTCCGGCTTTTACATTCTTGTTTTCTGTGTTTTCCCACAATCTCATTTAATAAGACAGTTTTTCAATTCAATCTCTATTTTCTCCAAAAATATTTAAGACATTATGGAATGTCAGTGTCACAAAGCTTTGATGCCTCTCAACCTTCAATTTAGATTGATAGCCACAATTTTTCATTCATAACAAATTTTCTAAAATTTACAGACATGCCCATCTCTAGTATCTATTACTCCCTTCGTTTCAATTTAATTATCATTTTAAGTTTTTACACACATATTAAGAAAACATTTAATTTTACATATTTTCTAAAAAAAACACAATTACATATACACTTAAGAGCTAACCACATTTCAACCAATAGAAAAATAGAATAGTAGATAAAGTTAATAAATTTTACATTAAAATTATAAAATGAGGGAAATTTTAGTCTACAACGACAACAAATTTGAAAAGGAGGGAGTAGGTTGTTCCAATATGTCACATAAATTACAAAACAAACTAGGTGATTTTCCCGTGCTCATGCACGGGTATAAATATTCATAAAAGTAAAATTTTATAATAATTGATTGATATTTAATTTTAGTTTTGAATAAATTTTATGACTTTGGATATATTATTGTCGGTTTAATTATCTTTTGGATCAATAGTCGGTTTGGTTATCAATTTGGTATATTGGATAATATATGTTTTTCGAGTTCAGCAATAATATTTTTTATTCTAAATATAATAAAACTTTGATTATTTTTTTTTATTTTCATTTCGGTTGGTTATTGTCTTAGATATATAAATATATTATAGTTTAAATTATGTATAACTTAATATATATTGTGCTTAAAATGAAATAAATAATAAACTGAAGTGTTTGATTCAAAATTACATAAATGAATATAATGATAATATTTTGAAGCCTCATGCATATATATAAATTCTACAAAATAATTAAATTGTAATTGATTAATAATTTTTTATTCTTTTTAATATGCTTTGGGTCAACCTCTAATTTATATGTATAAAATTAAATAAATTATTTTTATTATTATTATTATTATTATTCATTATCATCACTATTATTATTATAACATTATATGTTCTTATTGTAGTTAGATGTTTAATTTTGAATATAAATTAGATTAGTCGAGTCATTCATTTTGGAGTATATTGAGTTAAATATATTTTTAAATTAAAATTGAAGTATAATTACTTTTTATCTTAGTTAAGTCAAATCAAATTAGTTTTTTTTATCGCTTAAATATACATGTGATTTCATAATATTTATTTACTATTTATTTTAGTTAAGTCAAATCAAATTAGTTTATTTATCGCTTAAATATACATGTATTTTCATAATATTTATCAAATCATATGTTGATTTCTAAAGAATATTAGAAAATAAAGTGTAACTGGTAATTTTTTGAATGTTCATGAACATATATATTTTTATTATTTTGAAAATATATTTTATGTTATTTAAAATATATATTAATGAGGGTATTACTATTATGTGAACTTTCCTTTTTAATAAAGTCATATTACATACATATATTTTCGTTTTTAAATTTGTTTTAAAATTTTAGAAATATTTCCTTTTTATTATATATGTTATTTGGAAAAAGGTAAAAAAGAAACTAAATAAAAAAATTAATAATAATCTTAAAATCAAATAATTCATTAAGGGTATCTATGTAATCAACCATCGCGAGAGTTAACGTGAGCGTGACACGTAGGAAACTGACTTCTCAAATAATATTATAGAGATATAAGTTAAACTCGATTTGGTTATTTTGGAAACACTCTGATTGAATAAAAGGATTCCCCGATTTAATGTCTCACTAGTATAAGATGAAATTAAATCTCCATACACGTACGCCTTGTATGCATGCAAATATATAAGCCCCTAATACGCTATTCATAAATCTCTTAATACATAATACCAAAAATAAGAAACCTCTTTTTATCTCAAATCCAAATCAGAGAAACTAAAAAAGGGTTCCAAAGGTACCTACCTCAACATCGTTCTCATGAATGATCTTCAAACCAATCCTTGAAGATAAGGTAAGATCACAGCCCTAGCCACCTACAGATCCACGTTTTCAGGTAAACAAAACTCACATTAATTTCATATTCGCATCCAAACATGAATGTGTAATGAAATTTGCCAGAAAGATTATAAGCATTTAGATTTTGTAAATGGCTTTAACGAATCTGTTATTTTTGTGAAATATTTGTGTATTTTGATACAACAGATCCACACAATAATGGAGATATTCAAGAAGGCTGAAACCGTGCGTTTACGTAGCTACCACGACAAGTACCTTCTAGCAGATGACGACGAAGATTCCGTGAACCAAGACAGAGACGGACGTTGCATGAACGCAAGATGGACGGTGGAGATTCTAGAAGAAGCAAACGTGATCCGTCTCAAAAGCTGTTTTGGCAAATACCTAACCGCTTCAAACATGCCATTGTACCTTGGCATGACAGGTAAAAAGGTAACGCAGACGCTTCCACGGCGTCTAGACTCATCAACTGAATGGGAACCCGTTAGAGAAGGTGTTCAAGTTAGGCTCAAGACAAGGTACATTACACCTCTGTCTTGTTTTTTGATCATCTCTTTCTCTTGCATACAAGGCCGGCCTGAGAATTTGAGGGCTCTATTTAGTAAAACTTTTATTAAAAATATAATTTTTTTTAATGGTGTGAGAAAATTTTGATTCTTCATTAGGTATGGGCAGTATCTTAGAGCTAATGGGGGTTTACCACCATGGAGAAACTCAGTCACACATGATGTTCCTCATAGGACAAGCACACAGGATTGGGTCTTATGGGATATTGATATTTTGGAAATAAGAAAGAAGAAATCATCATCACCACCACCAGTGGATGTACCAGAGCCACAACCTTTTAAGATTCTGCCGCCTCCGCCGCCACCACCAGAGCTTCTGATGGAAACAAAAGATGATCATGATGAGGCCAATTCACCCAAAGGGTTCTCCCTCAAGTCCCCAAGATCTTCTCACACGGAGGTTTGTTAGTACATGGAAACAGTTTCAGTATATCTTATATGATCACTGATCTGTGGCCTTATTTTCATATTTTACGATTACAGGTTGATGATAGAGTCACCTCACCAGGAAAGGCAGATGGGAGACTAATCTATTACAGGGTTGGGGATGAAGATGGGAACGTGGATGAAAGTGGAAAGGAAGAGCTCTTCTGTTTCAAGGGAATGGGACTAGAGGAGCTGAAACAGAAGCTTGAAGAAGAGACAGGTCTGAGTGATGTATCAATCTGTTCCAAGAACCCTTTGAACGGAAAATTGTATCCTCTTAGGTTGCATCTCCCTCCCAACAACTCAAAGATGCATGTCGTCTTGGTCCCTTCCTCTTCAAAAGGTTAGTTTTCTTTTCATTGATATATATATTTGCCAATATACCAAAATCATGAACCACTGAGGTCAACATAAAGAAAGTTGTTTTTTGGATTCTGGTTTAGTTATGGAGATGTGTGACATATTGTTTTTTTTTTTTCTATTAGATTTGAACTAAGGTTTCCTTAAATCAAATATAACTGAAGAGGTGGTTTGTGAAATTATACAGGGGATGATGCAAGCACTTCTTGAAGCAATGGTTCAAAACTACAGAAAGTTTGTTCTCCAACACCAGTTTATTTCGGTAACAATGATGTTAGATCAGCAACACCTTTTCACCATACCATAAATATGTTTTGATGCTAAAAAAGCGTCTGTCTGTATGTGAAATCCTACTTAAGTAACCAAAATCCAAACATTCAAGAAGATATTGTGTTGGGATTTTCCTAAGAAATCCCATCTATTTATTGTCTATAAGCTTTTTTATTCTCAGTGAGATGTTAATGAAACTAAGGCAGCAACTGTAAAGAAATACAGGAGAGTACCAGACCAAACAAGTGTTCCTGAGCAATTATTAAACGACTAAATGCTTATAAGACTAAATTATTAAAACATATTAATATGAATCAGTGGGGTTTCCATGTGTAAGAGCGATATTAATGTTTAAAGAATTTTTGTTTCTTCTCTAGTGTGAATTGTTTTCAAATTAGTTTATGCAACTATTAATTACAAAAAGAAATTACAAATTCAAATTAGTTTATACAGAATTTTCATTTAGTTTTGTATAAAATGCAATCAATGGAACTGCATCTTCAAAATGTAAAGATTTGAATATAAAGTTTGAATAGTATTATATGAACAAAATGGGGATGTAGCTCAGATGGTAGAGCGCTCGCTTAGCATGCGAGAGGTACGGGGATCGATACCCCGCATCTCCATTCTACTTTTTTATTCCTCCTATAGTTCTATTAAACATGACTACATGATGTAAAACTCAGTGGTAAAACTAGTTCGTGAAATGAAAACATATATGTATACCACCATTCCGCATTTCTACTAACTATAAACTTTCTAAGAAACATGACGTTCCTAAATCGTAAGGGCATGTTTATTGCAGGTCCCTTAAGTTGGATTCTTTAGCGTACAGTCTCTTAGCTTTTAACTAAAAACGCTAAGGGACGTCTCTTAAATCCCTATGTAAGGGACGTACCTTACCGTTTTCAGTTAAAAACTAAGGAACCATACGTTGGGACCTGCAATAAACATGGTCTAACATCGTTTTTTAACGTTTTCGTAAAGTTCCTAACATGTTACTTAGTATAAAGACCATACACTAAAGCTACTCATATGATGGTTCTTAGATTCGAATCCAACATAATAATGCTCTAAAGATTGTAAATGTGAGATTCTCTTTATTATTAAAAAATTCAATCGTATATGTAAAAGATATACTTTTCTATTGGCGGCCGCAACTCTGCGACCTCACCAACGGTCCTTGTGTGTGTTTTCGCCGCATATACGATCGTCTCCGGTGACTCTACGTTCACTCTTAAAAGCGTTTCTTTATGTTTTAGTAAAAGAGAGGATTAGATTCATTGGTATGAAGCAAGAGTCAAAAAGACAAACCTACCTATAATAATTCCATCAAGTTTAGTTGTCTACCGTTTATCCATTTAGCTAGACACGCCAGATATTTCCACGTGGCTGTGTATAAAAAAGCTTATATTCTTCTAGATGTAACGTTAGCATAATAATTAACTTTACTTTTTTTTTGTCAACAACGTTAGCATAACTATATCCCGGCCAAAAGTAATAAAAGTCTACCCTTTCGAACTGTTTTTATATTTTAAGTTTATCAGTTACTACTTTTTATAAGTAGTTTCACATTAAATAAGTGTTAAAATGATTAATCATGTTTACGAATCTAGACACGAGTAAAGAAAGTTAACAACATACTTGATTAATCTATCATATCCCTAACCTTTATATATTCTAAAGATAAGTACGAGACAAAACTAAATATAATAAAAGTTTTATAAATTAATAATGTTAGGATTTACAATAAAATTATAATTTTTTATTAATTTATAGAGATTATTAATTTATCGATATATTAATTAATCTAAAAATTTAATTTAAAATTATAAAATTATATTATTTTAGAGATTTTTAGTATATATTAATTTATAGAGTTTTAATTTAAAGAGTTTATATTGTATTATGATCAAATCTATTCTTAGATTACATATAGATCAGAAATTTTGTTTGAATTTCCTTTGAAATATTAGAGGAGGTATAGGTTATAGAAAGTTTTAAGTTACATAAAAAGTTTGTTTTTGGTTGTATTCAAACAATTAATTAAAAATATATTAGAATAGAATAAAATTAACCTTAATAATTTGAGTTTATGTACGCGTACTTATTTGCTGCCCAAGCTGACCAATTTGCACTTAGTTTCACACACAAGTTACAACCTGTCCGACCTGCCCGTTCCTTACCACTTTCAGTCCTCTCTCTACCCTCCCGCACGCAAAAAAGGATCATCCCTTTTGACTAATAAAACTTCTCCATTCCCTTCACTTAAACATCTTTTGTCTTTATCATCTCTCCTTTGTCGCCAAGTCAAAGAGCTCAAATCCATTTCTACTGAAGTTAGCTTTCATCGTTTTTGCCTTCTCATCCAAGTCTTCCTTGTATCTTTCCTTAAAAGTCCAACCTTAGTGTTCTTTTTCGAGAGATAAAAAAGGATCAAACTTTCCACTTTCAGAGAATTGGGTTTCTCTTACTTTCTGTTAATTTCATCTTATGGGTCTGATCAGAGAGAGTGGTCTATTCTAGGGTTAATACGTTTAGCTATGGTGATCTTTGTGGAAGATTAGGGTTCGTTCACAAAGGGATGATGGCTACAGGGAAAGACTCTGTTAAAGTTGTGGGTGTAGAAAAACATAAAAATGGGAAGGTGTTGTGTAAAAAGAAGAATGAGAGTGGAACTGGATTTTGGTTCAGAATCAAACTCATGTTTAGTTGCATCTCTTCTAGATCAAAAGTTGATAGTTCCATGAATGCCACTCCAATTATTGGTAATCTCTCTCTTCCTCTATACATGTAAGTTTGTATGTGTATAGATAACAAAGGTTCTTGTTCTTGTTATATACCTATTTTCAGCAGAATCTAAGACAGTTATTGAGAAACTTGAAGTCCATTCTCCTCCATCTAAAGATGTTACATGTCCTGAGAATGGTTCCACAACACCTCTAATCAGTGGGGAACTGAAGTATTCATCTAAGCTACGGATATTCATGTTTAACGATCTCAAGTTAGCCACTAGGAACTTCAGACCAGAGTCTCTTCTTGGTGAAGGTGGGTTTGGATGTGTTTTCAAAGGATGGATTGAGGAAAATGGAACCGCTCCGGTCAAGCCTGGTACTGGTCTAACCGTAGCTGTCAAAACATTGAACCCAGATGGCCTTCAAGGTCACAAGGAGTGGCTGGTAACATAAACAATATCTTTACCTAAAGGTGTCTAGTGTTATAGATTGTTGATCGTTTTGCTATTCATGGGGGCAGGCTGAGATTAACTTTCTTGGAAACCTTGTTCACCCAAGCTTGGTTAAACTGGTGGGATATTGCATGGAAGATGATCAAAGGCTGCTCGTTTACGAGTTTATGCCTCGTGGGAGCTTGGAGAATCATCTCTTCAGAAGTATGTAAACCCACAAAACCGCTGCTTTGCTTGAGGGTTTCTTGTTCATTGTTATCTTTTTGTTGTTTTCAGGGACATTACCTCTCCCTTGGTCTGTGAGAATGAAAATCGCCCTTGGTGCAGCTAAAGGTCTTGCCTTCCTTCATGAGGAAGCTGAGAAGCCTGTCATTTACCGCGATTTCAAAACATCTAACATTTTACTAGACGCGGTATGTCTCTCTCTATTCTTTTTTTTTTGTCATCAACATAAACAGACTCGATTAAAACTCTGTCATTTAACGTGATTTCAAAACATTTAACATTTTATTAGACGCGGTATGTCTCTGGCTGTTCTTTTTTTTTTTTGTCATCAACATAAACAGACTCGATTAAAACTCGGCTAACCAAACTAGGACTCTGTGTCCGTGTGGACAAAACTCCATTCTTACTTATATTGAAAAAAAAAATGTTTTCTATTTCAGGACTATAATGCAAAGCTCTCTGACTTTGGGCTTGCTAAAGATGCTCCAGACGAGAAAAAATCACATGTATCAACCAGAGTCATGGGAACATATGGTTATGCAGCTCCTGAATATGTAATGACAGGACATTTGTCTACAAAGAGTGATGTATACAGCTTTGGAGTAGTGTTACTCGAGATACTAACAGGACGAAGAGCAGTGGATAAAACCCGTCCCAATGGTGAACAAAACTTGGTAGAATGTGCTAAACCTCATCTTTTAGACAAGAAGAGGTTTTACAGGCTGTTAGATCCTCGCTTAGAAGGTCACTACTCGATCAAGGGAGCTCAGAAGGCTACACAAGTAGCGGCGCAGTGTTTGAACCGTGACTGTAAAGCTAGACCAAAGATGAGTGAAGTTGTTGAAGCTTTGAAGGCGTTACCAAGTCTTAAGGATTTTGCTAGCTCATCTTCTTCTTTCAAAAGTATGATGCCTGTTGGAAAGAACGGTGTTAGAACACAAGGATCGAGGAATGGAGTGCCTTTGAGGAGTTTGTCTAGTTTAAACTTGCCTCAAGGTTCGCCTTATGCTCGTCAATCACCAAAGCCTAAAGGGAAAGAGGCATGACTTGAATATAGGAGTTAGTATCTTCATGTCTGACAGGTTGGATGTTCTAGCTTCCTGCTGCAGAGAGATGGTTCTGTGGAAAGTGAAGTTTGGCAAGTTTGGAATGTTCGGATCCTTGTTTGTGTTTGTTTGAGTTGGTGGAACTCAGGAAGATATCTTTGGTCCTGAAGGTCTAAAGATTTTGATCTGTGATTTTTAGTGTAGAAATGTTAAAGGTTGAGAGTGTAAAGTGAGCGTGTTGTTTGTAAAAACTTTATGATTACACTAATGTATGTCATGCTATGCATTGAAAATTATCTTTAACTTGGTTAAAATATATAAATCCATTTATAGATTTTTGAATAGTGGATAAATCATTAAACGGAATATTAAGTTCTTAAACTCATGTAGAATGCTATAGTCGAGAGGTGTTGATGATAGTTTTGATGTTGACTGCTAAGACTTGTGGTGCAAAAGCTGTAACAAGAGATCGAGAATCTATGTGAAAGGAGGACGACGCAAAAGTATCATTGTAAACAAAAAGAAAAAATAGAAATGGAGATGCGGGGTATCGATCCCCGTACCTCTCGCATGCTAAGCGAGCGCTCTACCATCTGAGCTACATCCCCTTTGGTATACAACTAAACTGTTACATTTTATTCACTATAATGTTGCTTCTTCTTTAACCTTCCGTGTCCGGCACTGTGGTATGTCGGAGTCGGCAGATTTTGAATTGCAACGATGTTGAGGAGATTACTGACGCCAACATCCTCTCGCCGTATTCTCTCTTCCACGATTCCTTTCTTCTCTAAACCCTCTCTTTCACCGTTCTCTTCACTGTCCACTTCGCCGGATCCACCTTGCTCGGAGAGTAGCACCGTTGAACATGTCCAAGAGGCCGCCGGAACAACCATCTCCGTCGACCGTTCTGCTCTCTTCACTCCCCTCGGTATGTATTTCATCCACACACTATAGTGAGATTGAGTTTGACAAGTTTTAGAGTCTGATTGTTGTGGACTTGTTGGAAGATTAGAACACTCTCCTGAACCCACACCGGACTCTGAGCTCGTCAAGCACCTCAAGAGCGTCATCAAGGTATCTTACATTCATACATTTTGGCTTTAATAACATAAAAATCGAAAACTTTATGTTATTATTACTTATCTTGTGTTCTGTCTGAAGTTTGATCAAGTTCATGAGTTTGGTAATAGAAAGATCCAAACTTTTTGTTATTACTGATCTTGTGTTATGTCTGAAGTTTGATCTAGTTTATGGGTTTAGTAATAGAAAAAAAAAACATTTTGTTATTATTAATCCTGGGTTCTGTCCGAAATTTGATCTAGTTCATGAGTTTGGTAATAGAAAAATTAAAACTTTTTGTTATTACTGATCTTGTGTTATGTCTGAAGCTTGATCAATTTTATGAGTTTGGTAATAGAAAAATCCAACTTTTTGTTGTTGATGTTGATCTTGTGATCTGTCTGAAGTTTGATCAGTTATATGTTTGGTATGCAATCACAGTTTCGAGGTGGGCCAATCTCAGTGGCGGAGTACATGGAGGAGGTCTTAACTAATCCTAAATCAGGATATTACATGAACCGTGATGTGTTTGGAACTCAAGGTGACTTCATCACTTCTCCTGAAGTAAGCCAGATGTTCGGCGAGGTAGTTTACTTCTTATCATTTCCTGTTTCTAGGAGTTGTGAATTTGTGTGTTAAGATTTGGTTTGTTTGTGAATAAATAGATGATTGGTGTTTGGACTGTGTGTCTTTGGGAGCAAATGGGAAGGCCGGAGAAAGTTAATCTCATTGAGCTAGGTCCAGGTCGTGGAACACTCATGGTTGATCTCCTTCGTGTATGTATCTATGCTCTTGTGCTATTGCTACATCCTTGAGGTTTCTTTAATTCTGTAAAAACTTATCTCACTGCTGTCTCTCTTGTGGACTTTTTACTTTTAGGGTACATCAAAGTTTAGAAATTTCACGGATTCGTTGCATATACACTTGGTGGAATGCAGTCCTGCGTTGCAGAAGCTTCAGCGTCAGAACTTGAAATGCACTGATGAAAGTAGTTCAGAGAAGAAAGCTATAAGTTCACTAGCTGGGACACCTGTGCATTGGCATGCTACTCTTGAAGAGGTGCCTTCAGGAGGTAATGCATGATTTTGTTACATTTACTCTCAAGCATTCAAAGCAGTGATGCTCTCTGCATCTTTTCTCATGGTATCTCTTGTTCTCTTTTGCTTTCATGAGACAGTACCAACAATAATCATAGCTCATGAGTTTTATGATGCTCTTCCAGTTCATCAGTTTCAGGTTAGTTTGAGTCTCATGCTTCATCTTTATATATAGAAATTACCAATCTTCAAAATATAGTTAGGCGGTAACTAGGCAGATTATTCAGACTTAGATATTTTATACAAATAAGAAAGTAATTAGACAAATTTGTGGATTTGAACTAACCTTATTACTTGATTTAAGAGATTTAGACAAACTGATTTAAATTGGTTTTAACTGATTTAGAACTGTTTAAAATGATTTGAGTCTCATAAATCGGCTTTTAAAGAAATTGTTTCGGCCTGAACCAATTTTTAGAACATTGGAAATTACATTGCAATATAGTATTCCCCTTTGAGTTTAGTATGTGTATGGTTTCACTGCAGAAATCTCCTCGTGGCTGGTGTGAGAAAATGGTTGATGTAGGGGAAGATTCAGAGTAAGCATACTGCATACATATCTGATATTTCATTAGTGAGATTTGCAAAAAAAAAAAAACTTCAAAGCTGATGGATGCGTTATTGGTTTTATAGGTTCCGCTTTGTTCTATCCCCACAGCCTACACCAGCATCCTTATATCTCATGAAACGTTGCACATGGGCTACACCTGAGGAAAGAGAGAAGCTTGAGCATATCGAGATCAGCCCCAAGTGTATGGATTTGACACAAGAAATGGCCAAGAGAATAGGCTCAGATGGAGGTGGAGCACTTATAATCGATTACGGGAGGGATGAACTCATTTCAGACAGTCTTCAGGTTTGTGGTCTAAACATGCTTTTGTAATAATGTCTTGGTGTCTGAATCTATTGTCTTTTCATTATGTCTTTAAGGCTATTAGGAAACACAAGTTCGTCAACATACTGGATGATCCAGGGTCTGCAGATCTAAGTGCTTATGTAGATTTTCCTTCAATAAAACACTCTGCTGAGGAAGCTTCAGGTTTGTGCCTCTACTCACTGCTCATTCATTGAATAATAGAGAGAGAGAGAGTTAATTTACTGTCCTTTTTTGCAGAAAATGTGTTGGTTCATGGACCTATGACTCAGTCTCAGTTCTTGGGGTCGCTTGGGATAAACTTCAGAGTTGATGCGTTGCTACAGAACTGTGATGATGAGCAGGCTGAGTCGTTGAGGTCTGGATACTGGAGGCTTGTTGGAGATGGTGAAGCACCCTTTTGGGAAGGAGATGATGAAGAGACACCAATTGGGATGGGCACAAGGTATCTTGCAATGGCTATTGTTAACCGGAGCCAAGGCACTCCAGCTCCATTCCAGTAACTTTCAGAGGATACTGTTTTTTTTTACTTGGCTTGTCATCATCTCAGTTAAAAGTTATAAAAGCTTTTGAATTATAAAGTTTTTTTGCTATACGTTCTACTCAAATGTTTTATAATTTTTCGAACATTTTTCGTATAGATTTTGTTCAATAGAATAAAACTAGGTGTTTCGTCCGCACATGCGGACATAATTTTCGTAGAATTTATTATTAGTCTATATTTTATTAATTCAAACCAACATAATAAGTTAAGATTTATGTTTTAAAATTAATTATAAATGACAACACTCACATAACAAAATATTTTAAAAATATTTTTAAAAATATATTTTTACAAATGTGTTGCTTTAATTTATTTTAATTATATTTTTTCTATTTTAATTTTTTATTTCTATAATAAAAAATAATATATTTTTTTAAAATGTGTTGCTTTAATTTGTGTTAATTATATTTTTTTATATCTTAATTTTTTATTTCTATAATAAAAAATATATTTTCACGATAACAATATAATACATAAGAAGTATCTTATTTTTCAAAATATAACTTTTACTAAAAAGTTCTTTTTTTATTTTATAATAAATATTATATGAAATTATTAAAAATATTATAAATAATCAAAATTATCTAAAGCATGGAGAAATTACAAATCAAATAATTCACTTAAATTTTCTAATAAAAAATATATGTTCCAGATAACAATCTAATACATAAGAATTATCTTATTTTCTTAAATCTAGTATTATTAGTATACATTCGTTTTATTATTTAATAAATTATATATGAAATTGTTAAAATATGATAAATAAGCAAAATATAAAACCATGGAAAATTGATAAATCAACAATGCTTTCTTATATTTAACTATTAATATTTTAACTTAATTTTTAATTTCTATGATAAAAAAAAATATTTTAAAGATAACAATATAATACATAAGAACTATCTTATTTTCTAAAAGTATAATATTATTAATAGAAATTTGTTTTATTATATGATAAATTATTCCTAAAATTATTAAAAATATAACAAATAAGTAAAATTACAAAAAATCATAGAGAAGTTACAAATCAATCAGTAAATTCACTTGAATTTTATAATAGAAAAATATATTTTTAAGATAAATTAATACAAAATTATTAACATATTTTCTAACATATAATATTATTAATATAAATTCGTTTTTATTAAATCATAAAATAAGGTAAATAAACAAATTTATCTAAAATTAAGGAGAAGTTGACAACTAAGCAAATTTACTTCTTATATAATAGTATAGATAGATAATATAAAATGTAGGCTTTGGTTTTTGATCAAAACCAAACTTAGATTTTTTTTTTTTTTTTGCTCAAATACGGTAGTTTGGTTTTCAGCTAAAAAAATTCTAACTTAATTATACCAACCAAAATATCAAACTGACTTTAATCAAATTTAATTAAAATTTAAAATCAACCGTAACCACCCAAAGTTTTTAACTATTTTTTCTTTTAAAAAAACGAAATTTTCATAAATTAAATTAGCCGAATACAAAACTAAACTAAACTAATCAAAAATTAATTTACTCGAATCCAACCAAACCGTTTGGTTAACGAAAACCAGTCTTCAATTTCCTTGGTTTAGTGATTGCGCGCGCGCGAGTCTTCGGTTTAACAGTCCGGTTAAAGGATAATACCGTAATTTAAACGTGCCAAGGACGGAGATTGCAAACAAACCAATCAAATTCAAAGCTATCTTTCCCCCACGTCGATCTCTCTTCTTCAATCTCCTCCCTTCAGATCTCTACCACCGATCTGAACATTCACCGGGAAAGAGAAGAATGTACGGCTTCGAGGCGCTCACGTTCAACATCCACAGCGGATACTTGGAAGCCATCGTGAGAGGCCACCGTGCTGGTCTTCTCACCACCGCCGATTACAACAACCTCTGCCAGTGTGAGAATCTCGACGACATCAAGATGCATCTCTCCGCTACCAAATACGGCTCTTACCTCCAAAACGGTTGCGTTTTCTCCCATATGATCCTTTATCTCTCAGAATGTGACATCAGTTGTGATTATTTTTTTCGTACAAGACAGACAAATGTTCTTTTTGTTTTGAAACCGGACAGTTAGTTCGTGTCTGAAACTTCATTGTTGTGCATTTTTTTTCCACAGATGATCCGTTAATGCCGTTATGAATTTTGATTAGTTGACTTTGACTTTTTTTTTTCTGTTTTCGGTTATGTGTTTGGATGCAGAACCGTCGCCTCTGCATACCACAACTATTGTGGAGAAGTGTACACTCAAGCTTGTTGATGATTATAAGCATATGATTTGTCAAGCTACTGAGCCTATGTCTACCTTCTTGGAGTACATCAGGTAACTCAGATGTATAACTCATGTTTCGGTACAATCACAATCAGGTGATGATGCACAGGGCCGGTCCTGAGATTTACGGGGTTTCTAAAAAATTACGAACTAATTAAGTACTAAATGATCAATTTGGAGGCCAGGTGATCTATACAATTAACCATTAAAATGGTGATGCATGCGCAGAGCCGATCCTTAGATTTACGGAGTGGGATTTGAAGCAATTACGAACTAAGTACTAAATGATTAATACATATATATTAACCATTAAAATGGTGATGCATGCGCAGAGCCGATCCTTAGATTTACGGAGTGGGGTTTGAAGCAATTACGAACTAAGTACTAAATGATTAATACATATATATTAACAATTAAAATGGTGTTGCATAGGGCCGATCCTGGGATTTACGGGGTTTGGAACAGTTATGAATNTATATTAACCATTAAAATGGTGATGCATGCGCAGAGCCGATCCTTAGATTTACGGAGTGGGGTTTGAAGCAATTACGAACTAAGTACTAAATGATTAATACATATATATTAACAATTAAAATGGTGTTGCATAGGGCCGATCCTGGGATTTACGGGGTTTGGAACAGTTATGAATTAAGTACTAAATGATTAATACATAAATATTAACCATTAAAATGGTGTTGCGTAGGGCCGATCCTGGGATTTATGGGGTTTTGAAACAATTTCGAACTGAGTACTAAAAAACCAAATTTGGAGGTCAGCTGATCATTTGAGATATTGAGTTTGTTGTTTTGATACTATAATGCAGATACGGCCACATGATTGATAATGTCGTGCTGATTGTTACTGGAACTTTGCATGAGAGAGATGTTCAGGAGTTGATTGAGAAATGTCACCCTTTAGGCATGTTTGACAGGTACCCCGCATCGCCCTTTTCTCGAATCTTCTATATCTCTTCACGTAGCTGCTTTAGATCCTTTTTTTGTTTTCCCTTTCCCAGCATTGCCACATTGGCAGTTGCTCAGAACATGAGGGAGCTCTATAGGTTGGTGCTTGTGGATACTCCTCTTGCTCCTTATTTCTCGGAGTGCTTGACATCAGAGGTACATAGCTGAAACATTTTCTATCCTAGTTTTCTAGTTACCGGATACATTGGTAAATTAAGAAATTAATTTTCAGGATTTGGATGACATGAACATAGAGATTATGAGGAACACGCTCTACAAAGCATACCTTGAGGACTTTTACAAGTTCTGCCAGGTGCTCATCTGCTCTATCTTTTTTACAAAATTTCATAGTCTACCTATTACATGCTAACCCGTTTTCTCGGGTGTATCCGTAATAGAAACTTGGTGGGGCAACAGCAGAGATAATGTCTGATCTTTTGGCCTTCGAAGCTGATAGAAGAGCTGTGAACATCACCATCAATAGGTAACAATAACTTCTGTATGTCTTTGTGTATCAAACCACAAGATATTACCATTGTTCTGCTTCTTTCTGTACTGAAACTGGTTTTCCTTTTTTCTTATGCAGCATTGGCACTGAGCTTACAAGAGAAGACAGGAAGAAACTGTACTCTAACTTTGGTCTCCTGTATCCATATGGCCACGAGGAGCTTGCTATCTGTGAAGACATAGATCAGGTAAATCTTAAGCTAATACATAACAAATATGTTAAATGTGACATCAATAATGAATACCATTGTCATCCACTCATAGGTTCGTGGTGTTATGGAGAAGTACCCTCCTTACCAAGCAATATTCTCCAAGATGTCTTACGGTGAGAGCCAGATGCTAGACAAGGCGTTTTACGAAGAAGAAGTCCGAAGGCTTTGCTTAGCCTTTGAGCAGCAGGTTTGTTTCCATATACATTTTTTATAACACTGTCTTTGCTCAGTTAATACTAACAATTATTTGGTTAAAACTGAGTTTTTTGCAGTTCCACTACGCGGTGTTCTTTGCGTATATGAGGTTGAGGGAGCAGGAGATCAGGAACCTGATGTGGATATCAGAATGTGTTGCGCAGAACCAGAAGTCGAGGATCCACGACAGTGTTGTCTACATGTTCTGAGGTCTGGTAAGAAATGAGAAACACATTAAAATGTGTCTTTAAAACTGGAGAATAAAAAAAAAAAAAAAACAATTTGGTTTTATTCATTGCTCAAGTTTACTCTGTAAAATTAACATTTACCCAAATAAGAAGAATCACTCCTATTTGTTTGTTTTTTTTTGCCCTATCTTGATTGGTTGTCTATTGCCAATAAATTCTTGTAACAGTATAAACTATTTATTTGTTTTTATAATACTTTACTAAAATATTTGGAAAACAAAACTTTTAAAGTTTTTTTTTCTATATTTGTTTACATTTGCACCATTTTGTAGTAGAGGCAGGAACTTATACACGTCTAGGTTCTTGTCTGATAACTACACCTTGTTTGTGAGTGAATGTTAGTATTTAGATTCCAAGCATCTGAATCGCTCGGACATTGACGTATCAGTAGAGGAGTTGAGAAGAGTTTACTACATAACCATGTCCTAACGGATTTATTTTGTTCTAATAATTACTAACAATGGTAAGTGGTATCGATATTTTATTAATGGTTTACAAAATAGAGATAAATATCACATGGCGCGTTTCCCTCCCTTCATATTAGTACAAATAAATAAATAAAAGTAGTAAGAGATAAACTCATGGCTCCTTCATCTGTTGTTGAGTTAGTAAAACACACAAACTTGTGTCTTTTCTCAGTTTATTAAGTGTAACCCCCCAGGGTTAACCCGTGACCTGAACTCGTCATCTCCTCTAACCATTCTATTCTCCGGAATATCGATGTAGGTCAATCCAACCTTACCTTCAGCTTTAGGGTAGATCCCTGATCTGTGCGTGCCAGCTCCTCCGGTCTCTCTCTTCGGACCATCACCGTAGTTAATGCTCGATCTTTTTCCTTGGTCAGGGTAGTAGCTCCCTGATCTGTGCGTTCTAACTCTTTCGGTCTCTCCCTTCAATATTCTGCCTTGAACTCCAAACACACTAGACCCAAAACCAACACCGTTTTTGGCGAAAGCACCAATGAAACGCCCACCATGAACTAGAGGGATACCGATTTGCTTCACTGAAGAGAACTTCACGCTACACTCAGTGATCACTTTCACGAAAACATTAATAGCATTTTTCAACTTGATCAAACACTCGTCCACCTTGTCCCTATCCTCTTGGCTTATCTTAGCGTTAGCATTGAACTTATACTTGTTCGACATCTCGACGATCTTCTCCTCAAGCTTAACGAAACAACCAGCCATACCGGTGTAGCTTTTGCCTAGCTTAACCGAGAGGTCACCTTCAACACCGACGGCTGCTTCAGCAGCAAACATGGCCTTGGTTATCATAGCGTATTTGGCGTAAACGACGCCGTAGACGTTCTTGACGCCCGCCACCTTGAAGGCTGAGAGCTGGTTGCTGTAGGTTTTGCATATGGAGAATAATGTGCTGAACTGGATGCTGTTTGGTGCGGATTTAGCCTTTTGCTCGATGAAGTTGGAGATGTCGAGGGATGGGAAAGATTGGATTCCGGACAAAGTGGGTGGGCATATGTTCTTTTGTGTTTTCTTGGGCATAGGTGGGTGAGATGAGACGAATGAGGCGATGACTAGAACTAAGGCTATAGATAACAACAGAGAAGTCCTTGCCATGGTTGTATTGATGGCAAGGTTTTTTTTAAAAAAAATGTAACACTAAATAGATAAAAAGGAAAATGAAGGAAGTGCGTTTTTGGATTGAGGACTTTGAAATGTATATATACGTTTTCATTTCACCTAATAATAGATTAAAACAAGTTACAATAACAAAAAAACAAAAAAACCATACAGAAGAGAGATTCATGGACGTTCACTAGACTTTTTCTTTCTGGCTAAGCTAATTTTATGAATGTCAAAATGAAACTAACAAGTCCTTACTGGTTAATTTAGATAACCGGTGTAGATAGTTATGTGTAATGTTTAGTTTTCATCATTTCATTTACATTTTTATATTTTGGTATATCAATTCTAGACATGAGAATGTAGTCGTTTTGATAATTAGTTATATAAATATAGTTATGTAGCCACAAATCAAGTAGGGTTTCAGTCAATTAGGAAAGATTTGATAAAGGGTTTTCTTGAATTAATAAAAGTCAACACAGATATTACAAAGAAGCAGAAAGTTTAAGGGAGAAGAGATTAAAGTTTAGTTTAATCTAATGAAAATGAAAGCTTTTAAAAACTTAACAGCTGAGAGAGATGCAGAAGGATGACAAAAGGAAACAATGTCTCAGCCATGGCCTCCGCAGTCACGATGATCAATATGTGGAATTAGAACAAGTGATTCGCGATGGAACATCCACTTTTCATTTTAAAGAGTCAATCTTCATCAAGATGGGTTGAATCATTATGCGTATATTGTGTGTTTGGTTGGAGCCATTGTTTTCTTTTAGGGGGGTTTTGTTTACATTGATTCCGACATATGGGATTTACGAACTTACAAAGATTATTATCATATTATGTTTTGTGACTTGGACTTCTAAAGATTCAAGGCAACACATGCATTTAAAAGATCACATCATAAAGAAAACTTCCCACGGTTGGATAAAGCTAAATAAAATCCTAGTTGTAGAAAATGTAGTATCACCTATATTTACAAACTTAAACTACGTTAAAAGTGCTGTTCAAAAAAACTACGTTAAAAGTTGAAAATCATGGTTTAAAGCATACTAATTAATGTTTCATTAGTTTTAATTTTAACATTTCTTATAACAATTACACGTCAAAAGTATCTTAACTTGGGAAAGGTTAAAAGAACAAAACAAAGAGAAAAGACTGACTTTTATCTTTCTTTTTTTTTTGAATCACAAGACTGACTTTTATCATTAATAGAGAACATAACTGATGTTGGTTTTACATCACAACAACAAGTGTTTAAACAAAAAAATGAAACATTACATAGTGAACAATTGAAGAGTTGTGTTGTTATAATTGAAGAGTTGTGTCTCTTTCTCTTTACAAATCTTAAATAAAACTACTCAAACCTATCTAAAAGACATGATCCTTAACACACGCACCTTATCACTAACCTCAATTACATCCAACAGGTGCTCCTCCAGGTTGGTAAGATGGGCTTCCACTTCCAGTGTAGGAGCTCTCACCAGAAATTAAATTAGGGGGGACACCAACGGTACTTATTATGGTGCTTCCACCTGTAGTATCTGAGTAGGAACCTCCATCACTCATAGAACTTCCACTTCCACCACCCATCATACTTCTTCCTTCTGTGGACATATCAGATGTACTTCCGCTTGGACCACCAGATGCATCTTGAGTTTCAGTATCATTTCCACCACCCATGGAACTCTCTCCAGCTGAGCTATCAGTTGGGCTTCCACTCGGCCCAGCAGCATCAGAGGTTCCACCACCTATGGAACTAGCTCCTGATGAGCCAGAGCTATCACTTGGGCTTCCACCTGGGCTACCACTGTCAGAGCTTCCACCTCCAAAGCCAAGGGATGAGAGATCAATATCACCGTCACCACTCTTCTCACCTACCTTTTTCACAAACTCACCAATCCCTTTTGCCCATTTCACCATAGTTTCCTTCAGCTTTTCCCTCTGTTCACTTGTTATTGTTTGTGAACCTGTCCTCTTGTAACCAGCCAAGGTTTTTCCCATCGACGTCAAAGTTTCTATCAATTTGCTTGTACCCCCCTAACCACAAAAACCCACAAAATAATAAACCCAAAAATCCTTTTTAATTTCCATGAACATATTCTATTACTCAAATGAGTTTACATAAGTCTTACCGGTGATCCTGCTTTGCCACTCAATGTAGAAATAGCCTTGAAGAGCCCCTCAGATTGTGCTTTCAACTTAGAATTAAATTCTGACGATGATCCTGATGCTGAGTTTAGGAAGGTCATGAAAGCCTTCAGCTCTGTGAAGAACTTTTTGTATTCCTCCTTTACAGGACATAAACCCTCAAGGCCATCTACAAAACTAATCATACCCTTGAAAGCAAAAGGTTTAAACTCGCTGGACGTGCTAGGAAAATTCTTCAAGTAATCATTTAATAAGAAATGTCCTTGGGCTTCATATAATGTACTTGATGCTACTATTATAGACAATAGACATATTGCTAAAGGAGATTTTGCCATTTTCTTGTCGGACGGGGGAAAATTATGAAACTAATTTATTTATTTATTTTATTTTTGTTTTTAGGGTTTTTTTTAATGATTTCATTTTTTAAGAGAGCTCGATTTATATAGATGTATAAAAAATCTAAATTTGATTTGAGAGAAATTGGTGGATCCATTTGAGGCCACGAGATCTAGCAGAAAAAGACTAATGGCTCTCATGTTCCATAACCTGGTAGGATGGGGAATTGTGTTACTCTTTGTTTCTACCATACTATGTTTAGAAAAGAAATAACCACCATGTAAATAATAACATTGAAATACATCCTTTATGTTTGTTGTATTAAAATCATCTCATTCCTTTACACATTTTTTAATTAACATGCACTTTATATGGATTTGAACCTGATTGGGTTATACACTTATAAAGTAACAATACGCGTAAATAATAAGCCTTCTAAATTATTTTGTCAAACGAACACTTTTTTTTGGCTTTGTCCTCTGGAGTCTAAAACTGATTTCTATATGTTTTTGAAATAAAACTGCATGTCCTCTACTTAGCAAAAATCTACATTTCATCATCGTTTCTTAATCTAATATACTTTTACAATTCTCCATCGTCATTGGGTTGATCCAAGTCTACATCAGTGATCTTTCACGTTTAAGAAAATATAAAATCAAATGTATTTTTGTTAGGCTAAAAGACATTTAATTTCTTAAAATTTATCAATATTGTAAAGTTAAGATATTATAAACCCATAATAATATTAAGGGTTTATAAATTCGATTAGTTATGAATTATAAACTATAAAATAAAATTTAAGCATAATTGAGTAGATAAATAAAGCATACTGTATTCACGTTTTTAGTTGAAAATTTGATTTTAAAGTAGATTTACCAAAGCCTAAAATAAACATAGAATTTCAAGGCTTTTTTTAACTATATTTTTAATAAAGCATATGAGTTAAACATAATTTAACAGCTTTCAGTTGACTTTAATATTATTCATATATAAATGACATGTTTTGAGTTTTCATTAGTGACTGAATAAATTGTAACAAACGTATATAATTTGTTTATATAGTTTTTTTCATCCAACATTACAAAGTCTTTTATTTGTTTTTGGTGATCATATTAAAATGTAAGAAAATAATATCCCCTTACAAAAATTAGTTCAAAAAAAAAATCCCCTTACACTAAAATAAAATTAATATAAGACTTTTCACTCGTTTCCACATTTAAATTTGTAATGATGAGTCTCCTAAAAATTACTGTGATCATAAGAATAAAAAAAAAAAATCGACCCAAAAAAGGAATAATTGTTTTTATTTAATAAAGAAACACGAAAAAATATATTCAAAATCCCTTGAATGGGTCTAGCATGATTGCTTTACAAAGTTATTATTTGCATACGTCGGTCTACAGGCACACATTCCTGGCCTATACCGATCTTAGTTTTATTGAAAACCAAACAAAAAAAAAATAACTCTACTTAGCTACTAATTATCATATTTGGCAGTACTAGTTTGTCTTTCTTGATGATTTTCAGCGCATTAGTGTAGCTCATTTGGACTGAGTCTGAGTCTGAGCCTGAGCCTGAGCCTTCAAGGAAGTTCCCTGCTGAATTTGCTGAGTCTGCTGGGTCTCATGAGACTGATGGGACTGTTCAGACTTCTTAGAGGAAGTTGACTTAGATGACTGAGTGGAAGACGAAGCTGTACTAGAAGAAACAGCAGTCTCCACAAATTGGGTGGTGACTTGTTCCCATTTAGTGAGTGTCTGCTTAAGCTCTGTCTGTTGTGTGGAGGTCACTGTCTTGCCTTTACTCTCACTCACTATTTTAGTTTTAACTTCTTCTAGTTCTTTGAATGTCTTCATCAACTCTTGTTGGGAAGTTTCTATTTTTTGCTTGCTCTAGTGCACCACAAAGAAGATTAAAAGATGAGTTTATTTTAATCAAAAACAATAAAACATATATATATATATATATATTTTTTTTTTTTGTTTCTTATCGTACCTCTGCTGATGTGCCTAACTTTTGAGTAACAGACTCTGCCGCTTGAGATAGTGTCCCAGCAGCAGTTTTAACACCAGAAGCGAAGGTTTTTTCGTCTGTGGTAGAGATCTTTGATGTAGCAGTCATGGTAGACTTGAGTTTCTCAAAGAAAGTGCTGAGTTCTGTCTTTCCTGCATACTTCTTCTCTAGGCCAGAGATGAACGACATTACTTCGTTGGTTGTTTGAGTCTCCACTTGTTTCGCTGATGTGGTTTGAGTAGCTGATTCTGTGGTCGTGGAAGGACTTGAGCCAGTGGGTGTAGGACCTGATTCAGTGGGTGTAGTGGGAGTTGGGCTACTAGGGCTACCTGTTGAGCTAGTAGGGCTGTCCGTTGGTGTAGAGGGTGTAGGAGTTGATTTCGTGGGTGTAGAGGGTGTTTCGGGTGTAGGAGTTGATTTTGTGGGTGTAGAGGGTGTTTCGGGTGTAGAGGGTGTAGTGGGTGTAGAGGGTGTAGGAGTTGATTTAGTGGGTGTAGAGGGTGTAGAGGGTGTAGAGGGTGTTTCGGGTGTAGGAGTTGAGCTAGTGGGTGTAGAGGGTGTAGGAGTTGATTTAGTGGGTGTAGAGGGTGTTTCGGGTGTAGAGGGTGTTGTGGGTGTTGTGGGTGTAGAGGGTGTTGTGGGTGTAGAGGGTGTAGAGGGTGTTGTGGGTGTAGAGGGTGTAGAGGGTGTTGTGGGTGTAGAGGGTGTTGTGGGTGTAGAGGGTGTAGAGGGTGTTGTGGGGGTTGTGGGTGTTGTTGGGCTGTCTTCTTTTTCATTAACAATTTCATTAACATCAACGTCAAGCCCAAGATTGGATGTATCGATAGACTTTCCAGCATGCTCCACGGCCGTTTTCACAATTGTAACGACTGTTTTAGTCCATTGCACCATAGCCACGATCAACACTTTCCTTTGCTTTGGTGAGACAGGCTCTGCACCAGCTTTCTTCTGCTCAATCAATGTCTTTCCCATTGACAACATGGTCTCTCTAAAATCCGTACTCACCTATTCCATAACAAATATATCACTATAATAAAGATTACTTACTTAAAATATTATATACTACTCTTATGCATAGGTGGTACTTACTTGTTTAGCACCAGTCAATACAGATACAGCCTTGGCGAGGCCGTCACTTTTTGTTGCTAGCTCAGTATCGGTGGTTTTCGAAACCGTTGCCGTTTTGATAAAGGTGATGTAAGATATGAAGAGTGAGAAGAAAGTCTTGAACCCTTTAGTCGCGGGACATCCACCTTTGAGCCTGTTCAGCAATAATAACATACCTTTGCATGCGAATGGTGTAAAGGCCCTTGCCTTTCGCATAAAATGTCTCCTCAAGTACCACTTTAACAAGAACGTTCCTTGCGCCTCGTAGACCACACTTGATGCTACTAGAAACACCATAAATAATCCTAGTATGGTTTTATTACCCATTTTTGCTTTTTTTTTTCTTTTTCTTCTTTTTTTGTTATATAAATGTTTTTCTTTCTTTTTTTGAGTTTTTGATGATTCTAGTTTCTGGGAGAGTTGTGTTTATATAGATGGTTTGAGATATATATTTTAAGTGAAACGGAGAAATTTGTGGATTAGTTTAAGGTCGCTAGAGAATAGCATAAGAGATTCTCTCATGTTTCGTTTTCTTTTATGATTTTATGTTGCTGTCCGCGTTTCTCTTCATTCTATATTTAGAATGATCAAATTATAATGTACTTTGAGAAATTGATGAGTTCAATTGTGTGCAAAGAATACATGCTAAAGTTTTGGTCATGCTTATTTTAGCTCTTGACTTATTCGTCACACGAGTCACACTCAACATGAGCTTGTTACAACATTTTCGACTAGTAATAATATGTGTATATATTCTGATAACAGATAGCACGTAACAAGAATTGAAACGAGTAAAAAACAGCTAACAAGTAACAACCATGCATACATAAAAGCCACTGTATAGAAAAAAAAGAATAATCCTAATTAAGTGAATTAATCAGTTTGTTATAACAAGGTTTAGTGGAGGCCATCTAGTTCATGTCTCCAAACGGCAAAACATAACCAGACAGAAATCCATTAAGCCACTAAGTAACCCATTTCGCTCCTTTTCTTCTCTCAAAATTCCCATCTGCATTCATCTTACACTTAGTTTGATGTTTAAGGCGTAAACATTTCCGTGAAAGTATTTATATTCAATCATTGATCAAATGATAAGTCTAGTGGCTCATATTAGTTGACGTTGGAAATTATAATATACCACTTAGGGGTGTGACTTTTAAAGAATCTGAGTTTCTGAACCAAACAGAACCAAAATTTTCGGTTTTTAGTTTTAGTTTGGCTACTTAGTACCTACTGAGGTTAAACAGATTGATATTTCTTTATTTCTTTCATCTCACATACTTTAAATTTAAAAACTGACAAATTAGCACATAATATGCATCTAATGTACCTTTCATTTTAGCTACCAGTTAACGACTTATATTCAAGACATTTAGCATTTATACAACTTTATTAGCATTAAGAATATGATCACATTTAATAACCGGCTTTGTGCTGAATCAACGTATACATTTTTAATGCCAGGCTAAACTTGGGGATAACGATTGTTTTCGTTTTCGTATAGCTGCAGCATAAATATATTTGGAGAGTACAATACGTGTACATATATGCTCTATTCCTGAAGTTAAGGGTACTACTTGGACTTACATCTGTGTTTGAAAGCAATATGAAGTATTCGAAAAAATTAGTGGATCAACTTGGTTTTAGTTTGGATAGTACTGAGCTTTATTTATTTTTCGCTTACTTAGTTCGTGCCTTTGTGCCCGTGGATTAACAATGCTATTTTGCATCACGGATTCTTATGAAAATCCTGAAATTTCCTAAGACATAACTTATAGTTAACACTGATACACATCACTACAGATGAGTAAGCAAAAATCAAACATAATATAATGGAATTTGGGTTAAAATGTCTATAGATTGTGTTCAGTCTACGAATACGCGTTGTGAGATTCTTTCAGTTGTTTGTGATAAAATCCTCTTTTCTCTTTTATAACCAGTCAAACCCCACATTCAAACACATATATATTATGAATATATATTATGTTTTCCGTCATGTTTGAATTTTACATCGACTTGCAAGTTTCGAGTTTTAAGTTAATGCTTTTGTTTATTCATAGTGGGAAGATTATTACACTCTAGTTTAGGCCATTTTTATTAGGCATTTAGGTTATGCTAACCGCCAATCACGAGAAGCTAGCTTTACACAATCGGACATAAATATTATTTGGTGTCTGTAAGTGACTTGAATCAACCTATGCTAATATTATTTGGTGTCCGCTTATGGATCTTTAGAGTTGACAGGTATTGTTAAAAGTAACCAAACTTTGAGTTTTAGTAAGAAATAAGTTTCCAAATAGGCAGGAAAATTTTGGCGTTGAATGGTGACCAAGAAACAAAGAAGAATATTCAATTTCTTATTATCCCTATAAATTAAAAATCACCAATCACAATTTTCCTTTCATTTTTTTTTGGTAGAAAAATGAAAAAAAAAATTATTCTATGATAAATTTGAGAAAGAACAACTATTTTTTCTTTCTTGTAATTTTGTTCCTATATATTTATTTCTTAACCGTTCTTTTTGTTTCCAAAAAGGTGACCAGTCGTGCCCATAAAAATATTTGTATGTATGCAATGTTGTTTTTTTTTTACATTTTTCATTATCATTTTATTACCGCTTTGTAGTTACATCAATTTTGAATTTGTACTTTTTATACTAAATTTAAGTTATCAACCATAATATTTTATCATGTAATATCCAAACTTTTGAATAAATGGATAATACTAAATTTAATATTTTGACTAATTTTAATAGTAAATAATAATATGAAATGTCATAGACATTGATGAAAATTCAGGTTTACATTTTTTATGTTTCCTAATACTATATATTAAAAACCAATGTGTTTTTTTTTGTTCTAGTATTTTGCAAATATTTTAATTTAAATCAAATTATATTTAATAACAAAATCATATACATGGAAATATGAAGGTGAGTGTGGAATTTCTAGTTGACATAGGAATTAAAAATATTAAATTGCACTGATTTGTTAAAGTCTTTCAAAAATAGTTTTACATTTTATTTTATTTTACTATAAACTAATTTATTTATACATAACCTATTTAAATTTAGTAAATAAAAATAAAACAATGTTAAGCTTATCAACAATTCTTTTGATTCTTTCAAAATAGTAAAATTATCATTATGAGAAGAATGAAATCATGTTTGGTTAGTAGAATGAACTAACAATAAATTAAATAAAAGAGAAAATTACTAGAATAGACCTAAAAAGGTTTTTATCACAAATATAGACCTTAACAATTAAAATGATCAAAATAGCACTTAAATCATTTATTAAATATACATTTATACATTTGGTTTAACTAATCCTATACTTTTTTTGTTTAGAGTTAAAGAGTGGGGTTTTGGAGATAGAGTTACGAATTTAAAAAAATTTAAAATTTTCAAAATAAAAAGTGATATTTTGGTCATTTAATTTTTGAAGTCTATTTTTGTGATAAAAATTTAAAAGAGGGCTATTTGAGAATTGCCCTAAATTAAATTCATAGAAAAAAAACTATGAAATTAAATAAAAAGGCAAAAAAAAAACTGAGATATTATTCCTAATTTAAGTAATCTCTTTCTTTTTTTCAAATAAAAAGTTATACCCGAAAAGTGCCCTTTTTTCAAAAAAAAAAAAAAAGTTATACCCGAAAAGTAGCCTGCCTCACGCACCCTCAAAGGGGACGACGACTAGAAGAAGGTAGAGGGAGTCAAATGCAAAGAAATTGCCACCAAATGGCAATAGAGGTTTTCGTACACTTTATAAATATAATCAAACATCTCTGAAATATTCTTGAACCATTTTCTAAAACTCGACATTCTTTCTGCGACTTTTCAGGAACAGAAATTTGGAAACGATACGACGAGGCTGAATAAGAACCAGAAGAATCATCTCCGATCATGGTGATGATCTTGTCCTCCTGCTAGCTTTGATAATCAACCCTGTTTGGTCCTCACAAGAATTCAGTTTCCGTTATTTTATATATTCCTCTGTTTTATTTACTCTTAATCCTCTGTTTCCTCTCTGTTTCGTCTCTGTTTTATTTACTCTTATCCTCTGTTTCGTCTCTGTTTTTCATTTCTCTTTCGTATTTTTTTTTCATAAAATCTCATTGATTTTTACCAAACCCTTGTCTCAAAATCTCATTATTTCATTTTTTTCACCCAAATTTTTATTAAAAATCTTTTTTTAAAAAAATTCTGTTTTAACGGTTATCATGGGCTGTGCGAGCTCGAAGCACCACCGTAAGAAATGCATCCATTGCCGGAGAGGATATTCTCCGGTAGACATTCATAGAAGCAAATCTATGCGCCACCCATCACAACGCTCCGAAGGTAGTCCCCACATGGTCGATCTCAGCTCCTCCAGCTTCAGATCTCTCAAGCTCTGCGACTTCAGCGGGAAGCTTGTCGCCGACGAAACTGTAGACGAGTTTAGTCCTAAGGAAATTACAAAGAAGCCAGAGAAGGAGAGAACGAGTTTGGAAATGCAGGCTAAGCTCATGGAAGCTAAAGTATGGTCAAGTATGATGAGTGAGAAGATCCCCAAGATTGTGCCCAAGACTCCTATCTTGACGCCTCCTGGAGAGCCGGAGACGATCAATACTTGGGAGATGATGGATGGGCTTGAAGATGTGAGTAGCCCTATTCGTTCACCAAATCATGTTAGGAGCTTCTCCTTTGGAGTTGCTCCCGGTGGTGGTGGTGGTTGTGGTGATAGTGAACGTCTTAATTCGAATGGTAATGATCTTAAGCCATTGTGGCTTCAGATGGAGGAAGAAGGGGTTGAAGATTTTGATCCTGAGATCATTTCTTCATTCAGGAAGTCTCTTCAAGACCTCCCTTCTGATCATCCTTTTCACATTTCGGTTCATGATTTGAAACTGAATCCACAGTTTGAGGTTTCTGATGAAGAAGAGGAGGAAGCTTTAGGTGAAACTATTGGTAAAGTGAAGGTGATACTTTACTTCACAAGCCTTAGAGGTATAAGGAAGACTTATGAAGAAAGCTGTGAAGTCAGAATTTTACTAAAAAGCCTTGGAATTAGAGTGGACGAGCGAGATGTATCGATGCATTCGGGTTTTAAAGAAGAGATGAAGGAGCTGCTAGGTGATAAATTCAACAATGGTGTTGGGATCACATTGCCTAGAGTTTTCTTGGGGAGGAAGTATATTGGTGGAGCTGAGGAGATTCGGAAGTTGAATGAAGATGGGAAGCTTGAGAAGCTTCTACAAGGCTGTGAGAGAGTGAAAGAAAACAAAGATGGTAATGGGTTAGAATGTGAGGCTTGTGGAGATGTGAGGTTTGTGCCTTGTGAGACGTGTTCAGGGAGCTGCAAAGTGTACTATGAAGATGAAGATGATGAAGAAGATGATGATGAAGATGATGGGAGTGTAAAGGAAGGAAAAGAGTATGGGTTTCAGACATGTCCTGATTGTAATGAGAATGGACTCATTAGATGTCCTCTTTGTTGTGTTTGAACATACACAAAGAGGGAAAACATTACTCTTGTTTTTGTTTGTTTTACTACATTGGAGTTTTCGCTTGAGGGTTTTCTTGCCTCTAAAGATTTTGTTGTACATAAAAGAGGTTTTTAATTGTGAAAAAAAACAAAAGGGTTATATTTTCAAGTGTAAATTGTTGTTTATTCTGTTGACAAAAAAAAAGGTTTGTTGTTTATTCTTTAAAATTTCATTAATGCTGTACATGTTGGACTCATATATTTGAAAAGGTAGTGGGAGTAAGGAAGAAAAGTCAGCTTACAAAATATGACCGGAGGAAAAAAAGGAATTTTTCAAAGTCAAGTTCTTATGCTTTTTCTTTTGTCAGTATGTCAAACTCTTATGCTATGTTTGAATTATAGTCATCATTCGTAAAGCATAGTTGAAAACAAAAAGTAGGTATGTTTGTTTAAGGTATAGAGTGTTGAGTTGTGAAGATCCGAGGATCAAGCAGAAGGCTGATAAGATGAAAGATTTATATGATATAACGATATTCTGAATTTCAGACATGATTCATTTATTAGTGCGAGCTGTAGATTAGTTTGACCACTGCGGTTTGGGTTTGCCATTCATCTTCAGTTTAGCTTAGGTGCTGGAGTCTTTTCTTGTTTTTAGTTAGTTTGTTTTGCTCAAGTCTTATGTGCTTAACTGGATTGTTAATTGATTAGCCTTTGTACTTGGCCCAGCCCGCTATGAATTCAATTCGTAAGCACTAAAGCATGCCGAAACGGTTAAGACTGCGACCAGGTCCGCTAGGGCTAGGGCCGGCCAGTTTTATAATGAAATACATGACTAATTTTGAAGCCCATCAAAAACTGTGTGAAGCTAAGTGAAGAAGGAAATTTTGCAATCACAAGTGGGGTTCAATCATACTAGAACATAAACCTAAAGCTCTGAATCATAACGAAAAAATCGAGTGCGAATCTGTAACTATGTAAGGAACTTGCAGTAACGGAAGCATACGCTTTTTGGAGCAATATGTATTATGGTCACTGAATTTTACTTTAATGGTTTTTTACTTTTAACAGTTTTCTTTTTGTAACACAAACAAACGATTACATTTGGAGCTTAGTACCCAAGGGGGGTTCATTACATTGTGTTCTAGAGAGAGAGCATGCTTAGTTAAAGCGTCGTCAGCTCTGTTTCCATTACGAGATGCTCATCTAAAAGAAACAAAATCAAAATAAGTAGAAAGGCATAAGATGTCTGCCTGTGATTCTCTAAAGGTTTCACACTGCTGGTCCTGAATTGTTAGCATTGATAAGTTGAGTCGAGTCTGAAGTACACTATTGATCGAGAAGGGTGTACGCAACTGCATAGACACTCTTAGAGGAAGCGGTAAAGGAAAATATGCTCAAGCTTTGGGTACTTGGTTAGCCTCTCGATGGAGATAGTTAGATTTTCTTTTTTAATCATGTCACATTCTTTGTAAACACGTTTTGTTTGGTTGAATAAATTTAACATCATTAAAAAAATAAGTACATTGAATTCGTTGGAGTCCCAACTCTTTACATTCCCTTGTGACCACTTTTAATAGTTATTTTTCCAAAACTATTATTGTGTGAAAACTGCCGGAAAGAAATTTACTTGATTGGAGTATTTTTTAAAAAAGAAAAAAGTAATGAATCTTGAGTATTTGCATCCCATATACAAACTAAACCCCTAAATTAACTATCTACCATTTTTCTCTCTTATCTCTCCTCCCCCCCTCTCACTATTTTTCCCCCAAAACTATGGCATATTATTAATATCCAAGTTCTTTATGTATTTTCAGCCAATTCACCCCAAAATAGGCAAACTAATAATTCTTCATGGGACATTTCTCATACCCACAAAAGTTTTGCGACAAAACCAAAGTTGTTCCAGATAGACTTGTCGGACGTTTATATATTCATGCTCATTTGGTTGAATATATTTAAATGTCATCGCTAAATGTAGATACCTCTCATTACTTCGTCAACGTCATAGGCATTTATAGAAATGCAATAAATTTGAGCCGGTGCATGCCCAATAAATAATAAATTCTAAATATTGACTACATAAAGTATATTTATATATATATATATATATATATTTTTTTTTTTTTGAGAAAACATATATATAATTGTTAGTAATGAATTTCAAATGAAAATAGATCTATTATCCATTAGTAATAAAAATAATACAATGGATTATCATTATTTATTCAGTCTGCATTTTCTTCTATCTTTTGACTGACACAACAATGACGTTTTTTTTTGTAAAAAACACAACAATGAAGTTCAGACATCTCAATGTATATTTTGCAAGTACAGAACATAATCAGACTATAAATTAATGTAATTGCTGGACCAAAATTCCGAAGCTCATTAAAAAACACGTCGCTTGATAATATATATTAAGGACGATCAACATTACATATAAATTAATATATATCATAGAAATTATAATAAATCAATATATTGGAAGGTTTACATGAGTAAACTTCTAATGACGGCAGCTTCTTGGCTATCTTCATCAACGGAGTCGAGGAGCTGCGACAAACGGTCACTGAGATTGTCAACTTCTCTATGCAGCTTTCTTATGTAGTTGCATGTCTCTTGTAGTACCTTCGATGCTGACACCTAATATTTAATATTTATGCGCAAACATAATCAAGACCACATACATGTACGGACATCACACAAACATGACTTTTTAGACGTAACAAATATGTTGTGGACTCAGGAGTCAAAAGTTTCGACGTTTTGTTTGATTAATTTGTGTCCCATCTTCTTTTTAACAAAAAGGTATGTTTTTCTTGCTTTTAAAAGTAAAAAAAAATTTGAACTATTTATGAAGAGGTTGAATGAAAGTGATGTTATGTATTATACCTTATCAGAACGGCGCCGTTCATTAATCTCCGGTAAAAGAAGACGGAGCTTACTAACTAGGTCGATCATCTGGTCATCGGAGATTCTTGGGGAACTTGAAGATTGTCTTGATCTTCTGTTAGACATTTCTATAGGATGTTACTTGTTGCTTAGTTGCAAAACTACTATGTCGCAAGAAAGTGAAACTTAAGCTGTGTACTTTGTCTCTTTCTCTGGATTGGACAATAGAGCAGAGATTGAAAGGAGTAGAGAGGTAAAAAGGTTCTAATAATTTAATAAGGGAGCTTAGATTTGTGAAAAGAATGAGACACTATATAGCCAGTAGATATAGAGGGCTTATGTTTATTCCACAAGTTTAATATTTTGTTAAAGGTGTAGAAGGAGAAAGAGAAGAAAAATGAAATGTAAGAAAGTAGTTCGGTTTGTAAAGACACTTAAAGATATAAAGAAATGAGGAAGTGATAAGAGGGACTTAAATAGGTAAAGGACCACAGGAGAGGTAATGAGAGAGAATCTATAATAATAAAGTTCACATATCTGCCTCCACAATCATCCACGTTCTTTTTTTGATATGGGGGTTTGTTGACACGTGGCAACTTGTGGTTGGCCGAATTTTCCTGTTTGTCAATCTAACTGGGCTCTCGACCAAATACGAAGCCCACTTTGAAATTTTATTTAGGCCCGTAGGCAGCTATCTTTCTCCTTCCCCGTCCTTTCTGCTTCCAGCCATGCGGTTCATCGATGTCTCACCGGGTCTACAGGAGTCGGAACCACGCTTCCCTTTAATCCACTTCTGGGAGGATATAAACGCTGCGAGGCGCTTATTGGGTTAGTTCAGTTCAATTCTTCCATCTACGGATCTATCTGTACATCGGATCTCTTCTCTGTAGACAAGAATCTGATAGTGAATTAGATTCCATCGCGATCTGAGTCCTGCATTGGAATCCAATGCCGATGAAATTTCCTGATTTAGATTTAGGTTCAAATCTGGAAAGTAAGGGGGTTTAGTAAAAACGATTTAAATCGAGGTTTTACAGTTTCGATTTCAGTGAGGAGAATTAGAGTAATCCATTTTATGGTTCTGATGAGATCTCTGCTTGGTTTCTGCAGGGGGCAAGATCGTGAAGTGTTAATTAAAAAAAAATAAACAATGACATGTGCACTTGGATGGAGATTTGCCTCTAATGAGACGGTAACTTTTTGTTTCACTATTTGCTTTTTTTTTAGTCGCTTATTGATCATCCGGTCCTTGACGATGTGGAAATAGTAACACTAAAACTTTGTTTGCTTGGCTTATTGGGTTAGTGCTGCCCATCATGGACCAACTGGTCCGAGTGTCTAATTGTTTTTATCGGCAATTTTCTTTTGTCGATTCTGAGAAACTTTTCTGAAAGTTACTATTTTTTCAAGGAAATGTATGAAAAGTTTATCTCATCAAATCGTGCTCCACCATATGAGTCTCAACTCAAAGCAGGAATCTAATTGCAGCGAAAACGAAAGAGGTCTTTAACAAATATTTTTTTTAACTACAACTCTGTTCTATCCGGTCTAGACCACTGTGTCTCCTCTATCGACACTGATCGGTTAAGGTTTCACTTTCATGGAGACTATGAATTAAACTCTGGACTCAGGGAGACCTCAATATGAGCTCTGAAACGGTCTGCATCATCATACCTTATTAACGTTGTTATTTCTTATTATCAGCTTAGTTGCTTATCTGTAGATTTCTTAGTACATTCCATCAGGTTATTTGACTGACAATCTTTTTCTAGCTCCAACTCTGCATTGGTCTACTGAAAACCATTTCATGTCCATATTCTCTCCGCGCCAGCAAGGAATGGCTGTGGCTACACATGGTATGTGCTTTTATCTCTTTCATTTTCCCTACGCGCATATTAAATCTTAACGGTACGGAAACTAAACGGTGTAGCAAATGAAAGTTTTTAGAGCAGTTGCTAAGAAATATATGGAACATAAATACTCATGTGGTTGTTATTGCTTCAAGAAACCCATCAACGCTACATGCCTGGATGTTTGACTCCACATGGTCGTCATATATATGTACGTAATGGTAATTGTGATATGTTTTCTTGATGTAATTGAACAGAACATTATGTTTTTCTTAATGATGTTTCTTTCTCAGGGCCTCTGAGAAATTGATGGAAAAGAAGGAAATTGCAAAGCATGAAGCAGTCATGACTATTGACAATTTTCCAGTGAACACAAATGTGTCTTCTGTAGATTCTTCATTTGGCAAAGAAGAAAAGGAGAATAAGAAGCTATGTGGTACGACAAAGCTAGAAGCTTTTTATTAGCAAAGGAGCTGTGACGGAATTTTTTTTAAAGGAATATAAATTTATTTACAATGTTGTTGTGTAAATTATTTTGTGTTGAGTTTTTGAGCTGAAAAAGTTAGAGAAACCCTAATGATACTTGGGAAATTTATCCAATTGTTGTTAAAATACTAATATGTATCTATCTCAAACATATAGCAATTGCAAACTTTAAAAATAATAAATTCAAATTTAGAGTTTTGATCTTAATAGTTTTTAAATGTAATGAAAATTGGAATGAAAATTTCTTACCAGTTATCACATATTAAAACAGGTAGTTTTCAAAAAAAAAGTTATAGTTTCAAAAGTTAAATAATAAAAAGGCTATTTATCAATTTTTATGTTTATTTTTATTTTGAGCTAGACTTTGTGTTAGATTTTAGCGGTATTTGATAAGAGAAATATCTAGATATATGCAACATTGTAGTGGTACATAAAATATAAATAAAACATCGCATAAAATAGAAATAAAGCATCGCTGGTGTGTTGGTGTTCATTGAAAAGTCCCAATGCACCGACGCAAATATTATAAACAGTATCTAAAACTATTTAACTTGAAAATATTTTTCTTTGGTAACAGAAGCAAAACTATTTAACTGGTTGGATGATCAACACCACCAATAATGAAATAATTTTTTTAAAGTTTAAGATTATCAAACAAAATGTAAAAAGACGTATTGGTTTTTATGAATGATAATTCGATATCGGTAACTTCTCTTCACAATAAAATGTAGTATATTTTGTTCTTTCCTTCGGAACATCTATCCATGTCATAACAAATTTTGTAACCAAATAAGGATAATATGTTGTAAACAAATTATAAATTAAAAACAAGAGGAAGCTAGGAAATATAGTTGTGGCTAACAAATATGCAGTATGAAAAATGACAAAAAAAAAAGAGTCCATCTAATTCCAAATGATGATGCAAAATAAAAGATAATTTATCTAACTAACATGGATTTATCTAAGTATTGATATATATATATATATATATTATGTGCAACAGGTAATATTTTGACAACATACTATATATATGTATATGTATAAACGCTAATTTAATATAATTATTTTATGATGAAGTCCACATTTTTAAATTAATCTTAAATCATAATTAAAAATATAATTTTAAATCAAATAATAAACAATTCAGCTAATACACTTCAAATGTCATGCTTATATTTAAACTTAAATTTTTTTATAATAACTATGCAGAGATTATAATCAAATTAATATATCTCTATATTATCGATATTTTCTAAAATACTGTTAAAAATGTTCAAAATTATAAAACATAGCTAAAGCATATTAATATTAGCAAACCGGCGCGTAGCGCCGGCAAACCCCTAGTAGAGCAATAAACTTAGACAATGATGTAATGTGAGAGAAAGAGATTTGATAATCTCTAACCGAAATCGTTTAAAGTCATTTAGAGGCTAGGTGTGATTAAGTGGATATGTAATATTGAGATCAGTAAATCATTTTCTTAAGGCATGGGGGAGCTTGATAGTGCTAATATATCAAGCAAAGAAACAAAAATGGGGAAGGAGCATAAGAGCAGCATCTTGTGAGTCTCTACATATGCCATCATACAAATGGCTCTACCAATTTCATAAGACACATGTCATGTTACTTTTTACGATTATTTTTATTTTCTGAGAAACTATACAAAGTGCTCTCACCAATAATGATACTCTTACTATGCAACAGTTTATGCAATATAGTTAGGAGTGGTTTAATTGTAACGTATTTTATATCTTACCAAAATATGAATGTTATGTAGACATTTTATCATGTTTAAAAAAAAAAATGTAGACATTTTATCTATGAAATCATCACAAAGTAAATGTTAGGTAACCCAGTTTGATGATTAAAAAAAAAGGTATCCCAGTTTGCAGCATGTTTAGCTATCACTAACAGAAAACCTTAACTTAGTTACAGTAAATTTTATAAAGAGTCTCTATCAGTTGTTTTAAAATATCATTTTTGTTCATAAACAATAAAAGATTAGTAAACATATTGATAACTGAAAGTATGTATATAATATAATGTTGAATAATGGGGGAGGTTTGGATTTTAAATATAGAAAGATATGAAAAAGCTGTGTGATCCTACTAGAGCTGCTGTTGAAGTTGAAGTGAGATTTAAGAGACGTGCTCCTTGTTGAGCTAACAATGTGGCCCTTTATGTGCATGTCGCTAAAAGGCAATATCATGTGATGACATTGACTTTCTATATGCATTTCCATTACTATTTACTATATTTCCACATTGTATTAGTATTATGAACTGGAGCTAGTTAATAATCTAGAAAGTTCATAGCTGATCATCTTCAAACAAAAAGAATACTCCAGATCATTTGTGTATGCCTTGTGTGTTTCAATGTTCTCTGAATCTAATTAGTAATTACTGATGCATACATCAAAAAATAGAATCAAGCGTGGACTTGCTTAGGCCTTTAAACTGGTTACTTTGAAAAAGTAGTCATGATAAGTTCGTCTGTTTCCTAATTTGACTCCTCTGTTTTGGGAAGCTTGAGATTTAGTACACTTGATGCTAAACGGCATACATGTCCCATGTGGTTGCTTAAGATCTCGGATTATGCCTCCTTAGATGGTTAATCATGATTACTACAGGGACACAAGGTACTTAATCACGTCTTTTGTGTGTGCATTGTTTACAAAAGTATCAACAAATTAGGAAAATGACTAATTAGTTGTCATTGATTATAAAAATTAGTCAACTAGAACCAGGTTTCTTCTTCAAGCTCAATGGTGTTAGGATTCACATTCCAACAAAAAGCAACATATCTTCCAAAATCAAGTTTTGGGAGAAGTTTGGTACTTATTAATAGCTTGTAGTTTATCTCCTAGTTTAAAATTCATCGATGGACTTTTAAAACATTTAAAAAGTTTAAGCCTTTACTTTTTATGGTACATAAATTAAAAAGATAACAACTAAAGAAAAATAATTTATTTGAAACAATAAAGGGAGATGACATCTTAGGCCCTCTTTTTCTTCTAAATTAACACATTTTCACATTTAGAATAGATTATGACATGGCTTGATGAGAGAAACATGTGAAGCAACGT